TTTACCACTCTATGTGTTACCACATTATCAATATTGAAAATAATAAATAAAAAAGTAACATTTCTTTGTAAATGAGAATTTGTAAGAAAAAACAATTATTATTTATAAGTATGAAAATATCAACTTTATGTCTCTATTAGCAATAGTGCATTAGGTATTGCACTGGTTATTGAGGGTATGGAGTACGGACGAGAAACAGAGTATTACTACATTAGTCTATGTAGAAGGATTCGTGAAGCAGAAACATTATATTCCTGTAAATACAATCCAGCTTAGCCAACCCATTAAAGCACTCTCGTCGAGTTTAAAACTAGTCCTTGGGTAGAAACGGGCCGTTAATATTGCTCGTATTCCTTACAATTGTTCGTCACGTTTACAAAATAAAAACAAGGGAAACCTGATCGGTATGATTTATTTCATACAGACAGATGGGCCTGTTTCAATTACTCCGAGCATCAGTGTCAAGCATTGCTGCATGAATGCTAATCAATTACGAGACACGCTCCATTGATTTAATCAAGAATGCCATGTAGGTTCCGCTAAGCTTAGAAGAAGATAAACCCCTACCATGAGAAATGATTGTCTAGTATGTTCGATCAGATATCGGAACTCCAACAGTCAAAGTAGAAAAATTATCAGATTATCGTAATAAAAAAAAAATTCCATGTATACCGTGAAATTTATTAACTATGCCACAGTTAAATATATGAAATTGTGACACAGCGCCACCTACAAAACGAAGTGTACTTACACGTAAATTAAGCACAAGTTGTTCAGAGTTCCTAAAATTTCTCTGTCCATATTTGCGTTCTTCATTAATCCTGCCTATTACTCATGTTCAATGAATCTGTTGCCACTACTAGATCGTTACCATCTATCAGAATACATTATCGGCTTATTACAAAAGCGAATCCATCCGTAATTACAATGACGTATTCCCTTCTGTCTATGAATACTTGATATAACGATAGTCATCGTAAAGTTGAAATTGCACTACTGTCATGTTAAACTAAAGAAAGAGGTTAAAGAAAGTGTTCTCAAATTCTAAATCTGAAGATTACTCGGGGCGTATTTGCAAAAAATTCTTTCATGAAAACGGTACTTGTATTACATCTTTATATTTATTGATAGTTTTGATATGATTAAATCTCGGACTGAAATTTATATTTAAAGAAAAATATTAAACTATAAAAAAAACTACATGCATGTGTTGCGTACCAGCCCTAAGGTGGATACGTAACATGAAAGGGGACTTGCTTCATCTCCGGGTCTACAGGCCTTAAGCGCTGTGCACTACTCTGAGAGAGAACGCATGTCGAGGAAGAAATGGTCAGAGAACGAAAAGTAAACGCGTTTCGTTTCAGGATCGTAATGTTAAGATAGGAATTGGAGTGAGTATTTACGAGAGAACAGAGTGAGATAGTGATACATCTGGTGTCCACCGCTGGAACTATTCAGATGTTGGAACACTACAAGTGCCGCTGGGCCCAGTTCGCGCGGGAAGGTCATGCATGTATGTGTACAGGATGGAGCACGTAAATAAGAACATCTAAATATCTCCGCTGTTTATAGATACATAAAAAAACTGTTAAGGACAAAGTTAAACTGTTTGAAGAAGTAAATAAAATGATAAAATGAAAAATCTCTTCATGGTCATCGGTGTTATTCTAACTGCTGTGATATATTTTTTTTCTACGTACATATGTCCTTACAAAGTATAAAAAGACAAATTCAACAACCTTAACAACGTATCATTCTGATTATTTTATCTAGAGATATTTTCATCTGAAGGTAATCAATATTTTTTGTAGTTACTGGACACATATCAGTTCCTCAAATGTAAACATCATGCAGTGTTATTTACTTTGATCAGTGTTATTGAGCGCAGAACAGAAAAAGCATGTATCGTTAGACCGAATGAGTTTTAGACTACAATTATACGTTGGTGCCAACGAACATTACTTTGAACATTTGTAATAGCTTCATTTTAAGATGAAAATATTTCGAGATTAAATGATTGGAATAGCATGTTGTTAAGGTTGTTGAATTTGTCTTCTTATGCTGAAGGTTCAGGGAGGAGTTAGGGTTGGAAAGTGGGAGATGGAGGAGAACTTGTTACGTCTTGGCTGATAGCCAGCCAATCACGATAGAGTAAGGCTATCACACTTACTCTTCTATGAATAACGATAAGCGACGATTGAGCCTCGCGTGAACAGTCGGTAACAGATGATTTACGTGCCGATTTTCGAGGCGTGGAATCGGTGACTGTCGATCTAGAGTGGCATGCATTTTCTCATTTCTATCAGAAATTGTTGAGCTTTATTTTTAAAGCGCAGAAAACTATTTTTATTATTCAGGAATAACAAAAAAATGTTTACCTTTCATTTTTCCAAACCTTAAAAAATTGTAATACATTTCCTGAAGTTTACTTTAGAAAAACAATTTACTGTATTTGAATCTTTTGGAAATTAACGTTCTCGGTGCTATTAAATATTTGTCTTGTGCGCCGACTCAGGTAAGATGACAAGACAGGTAGATAATTTTTTCTTATTCTTTTAGCAGCGCACGACATTACCGACTGCTGGTTAAAAAACATTTATCTATCTACATCAAAACTTCCCCTCAAACGAAGACTGTCTACAACCATAGAGTAGTGGGGATGGCGCGCCCGCCTGTTTACTGCTCGTTTGCTCAGACATGCGCCTTAGAACCTTCAGGTTTGCTTGGTCGACCTGTAGTATAATATTAATCTTATTATTAAGGTAGCGTTTTCTATCCGGGGACATCTGGCGCTTGAAGGCAAAATTTAATGTTCTTTTTCGGGCGTTTTAGTTTGATATGTAGTGGATGCATAGAGAAAATTTAACAATGTCAGAACCTATTTACTTTAGTGTTGCCCATTTCTCTTAGCTGCTATTTTGGCGGGGGAGGGCGGATGGGAGAGAGTCCGTTGTAGTGGTCAGTTAGTTGGTGCTTATTCTACTTTAGTGTGGTTAGTTGTATTTACAGTTTCACATACAATTATATTTACAATGCCATGGTGTGTACGCAATGTTTACGTTTTATAAGGGTTACGTGATTTAGTTTTTACAGCTAGGTGCAGGTTGATCGGTTTAAGAATAAACTAAGCATGACAGGTCTGTGTATGTTAGTCGAATTTATCGAAGATGCAGTTAGCGATCGTAGGTAAGTTTAGTATTAGACGTGACGTTTCTCAATAATGGATTTCGGTGGTTGGCTAGACTATTGTTTAGGTTTGCGGTTATGTTCCTTACGTAGTCTGCTATTAGCGGCGTGTTTAGAGTGCGGTATAAGTCGGTGATTGGTATATGGCGTCTATACGTAGACATTTATTCCGTGTGACTTGTAATTTGTTCATGTGTGTGTGTGTGCTGTCGTGTGCCACATAGGGCAAGAGTAGGTAAGTACGGAACGGATTTTTATTTCGTAGAGGAGGAGTTTGAGTTTGATAGGGAGGACGGGTGATTTTAAAAGGTTGTAGTATTGGGTAAGGGTGGAGGTGAATTTTGTGTTCGCTTCCACGATTTGGTTGGCTCAGGTAAACCACGTGTCAATGCGAATGCCTAGGTATTTGACCGATTTTTCTATGTGGATTGAGGAGTTATGGATTTTGATTGCAGCGGGTAGGGTTTTTTTTTGTGCGAGATGAGGATAGCGTTGGTTTTCTCGGTATTGAAACCACGCTGTTTGCAGTAAGGTTAGGTTATTACATTTCAGAATGTAATAGCACGGATAATTTTCATTGGTTGAGTTAATTTAACTTCTCCAATTTGTATAGTATTTTTCTGAATGTAAAAATGTTTAAGATCGCATAATATACACACTGAATAAAGAAAATATAAAAATTCAAATGTAGAAGTTGTTTTCTTGCGTGAAATACCTCGAACAAATCGGTTTTTAATTTTTTTAACCACAATGCACCTTAATAAAAGATCTGCAAAAATTTCGGATAATAGTTACGTTAAGCTACCGCTACCATGTAAATATAAATCTAGTTATAATAAAATTTCAATAAGAAATCCGTATTTTTTAGCATTCTTCATGCTTTTAATTTTCTACACTAGAATTTGTAACAAAAAAATTTAAAAAAATTCTTTAACGTGTACTTTCACATTTAGAATGCACTCGATTTCTTTCAGAATTTTTGCGTTACGAATCCGAATTTTTCCTGTTACTACCCTTTTTAATTTCTCTATTAATGCAGAAATAATATTTTTCATTTTTCGTATTTTACATACCCTTTATGCTATCCGATATTTTCATTGTTCCTTTTCTATTTTCCTACAAAAGTACGATTAACATAAAAAAGCAAAAAAAAGGTTCATAAGGTTAAACTATAGAAACACTTTTTATATTATTTCTTAAAGAGGCACTGACACATAGGTATGTCATAATCAGTATATCGTGTCATCAATGATAAGACTGATAACATTTAAAAAAAATGCGCAGCTAATCGTGCTTACGCCCATACTTCAAAATATTCTCCAAACACGCGCAGTGCGCTGCACGAGTGATTTAAGAAAAGTTTTCAGTCAGTGAAGGTAGTACCGCTGAAATAAAGATGCCGGGTGAGTATTTATCTGTGATCAATTTTTCCGTATATTTTTTTGAATATTTAGTTCTGTGAAGTTATCCACAATGTGACAAATGTAAAAGAATAAAGTAACTCCCAAAGGTTATTCAAGGTGAAACTTGCTAAATAAATCGTTCTCATTTTGCGAATAAATCAAATCATTTAAATTACTTTCTACATTTTCATAGCTGTCGTAAGTTGTGAAACAACGAAATAATTATCTTTCGATAAAAAATTCAAGACATTGTACCGACAAAGGAAGAGAATTATATGGACTGTTTATTTTGAAAGTGTGCAAGTCCATTTTTTTTTTTTCATAAATGAAAAGTTTACACTAAATTAATCACAAATTATGTGATATCTCATTTTTTTAAAAAATGGACTTGTAAGTCCACGGTGTAAGTCCATTTAAAAAAAAAATGAGATATCACATAATTTGTGATTAATTTAGTGTAAACTTTTTATTTATAAAAAAAAAAAATGGACTTGCACACTTTCAAAATAAACGGTCCAATATTTAGTCCGTGTATTATCGTTATCTCGACTTTTCTCCGAAACTTATCACAGTGCACACCTTCTATCAAAGTGAGCGAAAATATTGATTAATGTTTATCTATTCAACCGTTATCATCGCGAATATCTGAATTTATACGTGGACATTGTTCCATACAATTTTGGCTATATAATATCGGAACACATAATAAACGTTGGAAGTTGTTAATTACAGAGTAAACGAAATATTATAGAGTTAAATATCGATAAGAATGATATTAACAGAAATTACTTAGAAATTGAAAACGCGAACCCGATAAGTGATTGAATTTGAAGGACTTCCCGTGTGACAAAATGTATCCTGAACAAGGATTTAATACTTGCTCCATACATTATTCCGTCTACGTATGTAACTATTGATTATTCGAATTTGTAGCCCGGAATTAGCAACAGAGAAATTTAGCGTGATTCATAACACCGGTGTATCCAACGAACCACGCAATCTGTGAGATATTTGATCGGGAATGTCGCCGCTAACAGCCATGATTTCTACCTATAGAGGACGTTCCTATGTCCAGATTCATTGATATCGACGATTCCCATAACAGGGTACAAATGGGTTAGGTACACGGGTGCTCGTTACTTCGTACCAGGAATGATCTCAGTCGGTAGGGACTTGGATGGCATGAATCTCGTTGTCGGACGTGCTGTGCACCAGGGCGACACGCTTCCTGCAAAGGTGAAACCGGAACATGGCGTGGCTTATGTTTGTCACAATGGCGTTGAGCATATAAAACACAACTTCGAGGTAAAGCAATTTCCTTGATTAAAATCGATCGAAATTTTATTAGAGGAAATTTTTGTTATTTACTTGTTGCATATTTTACACACAATTCTTGTTTACTTTACCGTTGTGCAATAAATAATAAATTCTTGTATAGTTGCCGTAAGAATTTATCAGAAGCCTCTTGTAAATTTTACGCAAAGAGCTTAACACTTGCCAGTTGTATAAATTATGCTATACAGTAGGACACCCTATAACGCGGGAAATATAGTACAAATTAAGTTCCATCGACATCGCTTTTCGGGTGAAATTTAATTAACCCCAAAATCCGAAATTATAAATTCAGAATTTATACGTTCTTTTTGATCGCGTTGTACGGGGCCCTACTGTACTATATTTAAAAAATATTTCCTAGTTGTCATTTACGAAAAGACTCTATTATACGATACGTACACGTATAATACAATACGAAATACGAATAAATACGTATGTATAATACGAAAGATGCTATTGCTACACTGCCGAGAGGTAAGAGTGGGGCAGAAAAGCGGAGGAGGGGGAAGCCACGTGACCGGCTAATATATTCGGTTCAGACTATAATTTGATTTATTCAATTATTCTGCTTCTCGTTAAGTTTAGAGAAATTATTCCTTTTCCAATAATGATTGGTAAACTGTAGGCTACTCTATGTGTATTGGCGTGAAAGGTTATAAACATTAATAAGGACGTATATATACAGGGTGTCTTTATTAACTGAACACAGTGGAATGTCTTATTAGGAATTGAAGCTATCGAAAAAATGTTTTTACAAAAATTATTTAATACGATGGGGGACATATTGTAGTATTAATAGTTTCTTCACGTATGAAGTAGTGATGGAGATTTCAAGGTCAAGTTAATTTTTTTCAGACAGAACGGAACATGTATACGCGAGAAAAAGGACATATTAAGCTTATATTGAAATTCATATTTTATGTGCGAAACAATACGTAATGAAACCATTCTACCATTCTTTTTTCATTTCTCTTGGCTCAATATCGATTACTATCATTCGTCACGGTCCCCGAATATATGAGCACATCCGGCGATCCTACGTTGACTCCCTTTATTTGCCATGTAATATACTCGATCGTGTTCGTCGTAATCAATTTCTCTGTGTTCAGTTATGCCAGCAGGCGTGACTGATGGTTAACCAGGATTTAGTTAGATCTCTCTGAAGAACTTATTTGTCGAGAGTATCAAGAAGTATAAGAAAGTGACAAACAGACTCCCTTACATTTATTTGATCTACAAATCAATTCGCTGTCTTTTCTCACAAACTTCAATGTTTATTTACAAAAAATCAAACGCAATTTTAATATACAAAACAATCTCCGTTATTTTGAATCACCATTTTTTCAATTTATTCCGTAACTGACGAATTCTCTTTCGAAACAAATATGGCGGTTTTCGGTAGATAAAGTTAACCAAATTTAGATCCCCGAAAGAAAGGGATCGAATTAATTTTTAAAGCGAATACTTTGTGAGCCTTCGTATCGTGAAATTTCTAATTGCACGATCTAGAGCTACTTCGAAAATGTTTAATTCACTTCGCAGATTTTAATGCCCTCGGAGTTTAAGTGGATCCACTCAGCAAATGGTCATGTCCCCCCACATGCTGTCGAGGCCGGAACCACGTTGGAAGGAGAGATGCTTTACGTTGGTCGTGCTTACCAAAACAATATACCTTGCGTGGGAAAGGTGAGATAGCTAATGTTTATCACATCTACGTTAATGTTGTACGTTTAAAT